ACTTGACTTCATATGAAAGTCCGGCAAGTTTGATGCCATTACATCAATGGTAACCATGGTAACGGTAGAAATTTGTGATTTCTCTTATTCATATGTAGATGCTTCTACTGAAATGCAGAGACTTCATAGATTTCTCAAATAGTAATAAAGACTATAATACTTCTGAGTGTTTAAATACTTTTATAGTACAGATAGCATGTGTATGAAGTATAAATCACATAGTTTCATTAAACATAATGATATATATAGAAAATAGGGGGGTGGCCAAACACATAAAATGATTGAAAATACGACCTTTTCATCTAGTCGCACTAAAACAGACACTACAGCCCAAAAGACGCTTTAATTAATCCTAAATTTTTTAAGTGCATTACATTCCCTTTGGTTCAAAATATCTTAAAGGGAATTCGGTTGCAAATTAATTTTATAGATTAAATTGGTCATTTAGACAGCCCCCCCCCCTTTTTTTGTATTTTAGCACTAAGATTAAGGAAAACCTCATATTTCCATGAAATAAAGCATTATAAAATAAGGAGTTGAATTTTACAGATTATTACATGCAATTTAGGTAACTTAAGTTGAAAATTTCAAGTTAAATAGATTTTTAGGTCACAAAAAAATAATGATCATTAGGCTAAAAAAAGGGGGAGCTGCGCAAAGACCATTTTTTAGGTCAATTTTTTTATTCAAAATTCCTATAGTAAACTTATCTCTTTAACTGTTAAGAGTAAAATCAATTAATTTCTAACTAGAGATCATTGCAACTTGCAGAAAACTCAAGTTTAAGTCTGGTTTTTCAAAAATCTTTCAAGTTTTAACATATTGAAAAATCCAAAGTATCGGACCACAGAAGTTAAGTGTCTGAAAGGTAAAAAAATTTAACACATGTTGCAACTTTTTTCTTGCTTACTGGTTATCATATTAGTCAATTTGTTCATTATTACCTGAGAAAGTGTTGAAAAATATTAATTTTCTATGGTACAAAGGGAGATAATCCAGTAAGATGCATTTTCAAAATCTTAAAAATCTTAAAATTACATATTTTTTAAACTTACAAGCTCTCAGTCCATTTAAAATATAAACATATCTCCACTTGGTTGTGATCAGTGACAGAGCTTATAATGCATTTTACAATATGTGATTAGTTTGCTCTTGTTTTAGTTATATAATTCTTCTCGCAAAATGTCTCAATTTACAATTTCTTAATTCTTTAGAAAATTAATGAATTTTTAAATATCAATCTGTACAAATTTAAATTTTACTTCTGTTAAAGCATTTTTATACTAAACAATGTATGTTAAACTAACTATCACAAAAGAGGCCATACATAATAATTTTCATGGTACAAAGGGACATAATCCAATAAAATTTGCATTTTAAAAAATCTTCAAAAAAATAGAATGTTTTCTTCAATTAAGTGTTCTGCTCTGGACACATCAAAAAGACTGCAAGATTGCAAGTTCTGAAACAATACAAGAGACCACCAATGTAAGCTGCTGAATAACATTGTAATCAAAATTCAAAATGCATCTACTAAAAATTAGAATGATGATTGTAAATGAGACAACTTTACAACAGAGTCAAAATAACATGGATTGAAGCAATTAAAGGTCATCGTACGACCTTCAACAGTGTACAAAACCCATACCACATAGTTAGTGTGAATGCATAACAATGACAAAATATGGTCTAACCAAACATTAGACATAAGAAACATCATCATATAACAACTTCTACATAACTGGCTCCTGACTAGATTTTAACAATTGACATTAATCTTAATAAATGTAAGCATTTAAAATATAGGTTACAGTGACCAGCTTTTGCCTTGATGCTGATATACAAAAATACAATGTACTTAATATGTACTTACTGTATGCAAGATGCATGCATATACAATTTTTCATGCAGTTTTAAATGATCTTGAATGTATAACTGAAGTCAGTTAAGTGTGAAATGTAGGTCTAACTTCATTTTTTAAAGAATGGACTTTCCCAACATGTATGTGTATTTGGATGTTCCTGCCCCTTATGATTTTTACTTTGATGTAAGCCTTTAATATTAAATCTTTGTTAAACAACCTGATTACATTGCAAGAATAAGATTAAAATACATCAAAGTTTATATTAATATTGAGTTAATTAATCATGACTTAGCATCTAACAAGACACCAATTGTTGCATTAGTTTTAAAAGGAATTTATAGTAGTAATAAATTGTTTCTTTACTGTCTGATAAATATTTACATAACTATGAATTAGATCAATAAAACTAATCGGTCAATCCAGTAACAATTTCTGATAAAACATTATTGTGTTCATTTGCAATTAAATGGCTAAGCACATTTTGAAGATCTTCATCATCTTCTTGATTGTTTTCTATTTTGACGACCTCTACAGATGGGTTTTTGGACTTCTCTACTTTCTGTTTTTTGATGCACAAGTTTCCAAAGAAACTTCGTATTTGTTGATGAGACAGCCACTCTGATGGTGAGAAAACTCTGTTTTCTTGTGAATCAATCTCATTTCGCATTTGATTGGAAACTGTATGGACTTGGTTTTTTACCAGACTCTTCCCCAGCATTAAATAAAACAGTTAAATAGTCCTTAACTTTTGGAGAGAATCTCACAGCCTTTTTTCTTTTTTTCAAAGCATAACCATGCTGTTCGTTGATATTTGTTTTTGTTTGATCTTGCGATTGTCCCAAACCAACAGAAGAAATCAAAGGTTGATTCAATCTAACATCTTGGCATTTGGCAGACCAAAGCCTTTTGGAAGTATCTATGATATTATCTAGCTTTTCATCATCAAAAACATGTTTACCGACAGACAGGTGTCTAAATAATTGGTCTTCTTTCTTGAACTCCAGTATGCAATTTGGATCAAAACATGGAAAATTTGCAGTATTCCTCAATGTTTTGATGGAAGCTGGTTTAGTTTCTGGTATTTTTGAATCACCAAATGTCTGTAAAAAATAATTATAAAAAAGGTTATCCTCATGAGACTTATCTAGGGGATAAGCAATGAATTATTAGCTGAGTGCAAGATATGGTTCCTTTCAATAATAAAAAATTCAAAATTCAATTCTTATAGAATAACTAATTTAAGAATTCAAATCTAGAAAAATTTTCAACAAGTGACCAAACAAGACATTAATTCACGAATGTGCGTACTGCATCAGATGTTCTGCCAGTAGTCAGTAAACATAGTGCTGATTACCTTAGCTTTATTTGGCAAAACATTTTGGAATTTTGGATCCTCATAGTCATATTAATGACATTATTTGACCTAGTTAGGCCTTTTTATTTTTTATGCTTATTTCTGCGTCACTGATGAGTCTTCTATAGACGAAATGCGCTACTGGGTTTACAATTTTAATCCTTGTATCAATGATGAGTTTATTTAGTTGTTATCTCATTGAATCTTATCAAATACCTCCCCTACATCATGTATATCTTTATAAACAGCGATGATTTTAAAATAAAATAAAAAAATAAATGTGGATAGTGTCCACATGTGGGCACAGATGATGCCCCCGCTTGCATATCATATAGTTATAGAGGGACATAACTGAAGAACGGTAAAAGTGGCGATGCCAAATTTGAACTTGATCTGAGTTTTGTGGTAATAAGCATTGTAAGTCTCATAACATTTGGTTGAGGCTAACTTAAGTAGGGAACAGAAACTAAAAATTCAGCAATTTTTCTATTTGTAAACACTCATAACTTTAGAACGGTTGTGTATAAGTTTTATAACATTTGGTTTAGACAAACTAAACTTAGAGAACAGAAACGAAAAATTCAGCAATTTTTATGTTTATAAAGGGACATAACTGAAGAATTGTAAAAGTGTCGCCACAAAATTTCGTACTTAATCTGTATTATGTAGTAATAAGCATTGTGTATAAGTTTCATAACATTTGGTTGAGGCAAACTAAAGTTAAAAAACAGAAAACAAAAAATTTGTACTTGATCTTAGTTTTGTGGGAATGATTATTGTGTATTGGTTTCATAATGTTTGGTTGGGGCAAACTTAAGTTACAGAATGGAAACTAAAAATTTTGCAATCTTTCGATTTATAAAGGGGCATAACTCAAGCATTGTTAAGTTTTAGGCTGTCTAGAATAAGTTAGAACAATCTAGTTGATGATTGTTTGTGAATTTTATGAAGTAGCCCTATTTTCTTTGGAGGTTTTTTTTTTTCTAGATCTGTTAATTGGTACCATATTTTTTTTAAAGGGTTACAGAATTTAATAAATTCTTACCAAATTAGTATCAAATAAAGTTAACTTGTTGGAAATCCTGGTCATGTCTGTTGCTTTAACAAGTTCCCCTCAAATGCCATATGCCTTGTAAACTCTCATGCCTTCATCATCAAACTTGAAATTGTTGAACTGTGTAATTTGGAAATTTTTTATCGGGCCACATAATAAAGGTTGTGTTTCACATGATACATTTACCACTGAAATATACGTGTTTTTTTATACCGCCATGGCTTTCAAGTGCTTCCTTCATCTGTTTACCATTGGTTATGTCATTTCCTTCATTTATGTAGTTCAACATGTGAAGTCTACAAGTGCCTGTTCTTGAGTCACAGAGATCTTTGCCAGATTGTGCTTCACTGAAATCATACTGTTTTACATCTATTGACAATTCATTACGGAACTTCCAAAGATATCCCATCAGTGGCAAGGCATGGTAACATCCAGCATTATTAGATCTTATATAAGCACGTTGTAGGTGTGGATTAATTGATTTCAGCATTTTGAATGTACTGCTGAAAATTTGTGACACTATATGCCACCCTTGCTTCTGCTCCTCCACAATGTGTACCATTGAGTATATATCATAGTTCTTATCATCATCATTTCCATCTCCCTCAGCTATGGCCTACAAACAAGAGCACAAATCATGTGCCAGCTGATGCCCTGCTTCCCGAACCATTCACTCTGAGTTTCACAGAAAGTTTGTGGTATGTACTTCATGGCCCAATCAGCAATAATCAATACTTCATGTGACTGCAAGTTTTGGATGAATCTTGATTTACATTTCTAATAGAATGATCCCTCCATGCCCAAATTTTTTCTGTAGAAACTAAGATGTCGTGTTCAAGTTCTTCTTTCTCTTGAATTTGGATGTTTTGAAAATTTGATGTTATAACATTTTGGATTTCATCTCTGATTTGGTACATTCTATCACAAGGTTGACATATATTGCTGTGGGTATGCTCACATCCTTTTTCTGATAATGCAAAGTGCATGCAATGTTGACTGCAATCACTTTCGGCAGATAAGTGACTTCCTAATTCATTCTTCAGATGTAATTTCAAGGTGTCTAAACTTTGAATAAGATCTGATACTTTACTTGTTTGCAGGCCCTTTGTACAAAGATTAGAAACAACTTTCTTTAAAGTATCAATACTTTCCATGCCATCACTTATGTAGTTGTCAAGGCCATGAAGGGATTTGAGTTGAGAGGCTGCGCAAGCTTTTATGATCTCGTACTGAGTTGCTCTACATGGAGGAAGTATGGAGTTGTCCTTGCAATAGTTGTTATATGCTGTAATAAGGCGAGATGCAATCATTGTTCTTATTACCTTTGGTACCCTTACAGCCAAACCTGATGACAATTTAAGGTGTCTTGATCCAAATCCAACTACTTGAAGATAACATGGAGCAGAAATAAATTCAATGAAATGATGAATTTTCTGTTTTGAAAGGCGTAGGCGTGTGATCTTTGGTGGAGTAACATACTGTCCTGGTCCATGAGTTGAAGCATATTTTCTAGCTGCATCAATTTTGTAAATAGTCAACCCTTCAATAAAAGTTAAAAGTTCAGATTTGGAATATTTCTCTACTATCAAAGACAAAATCTGGACTTTAGTTGTGTAATCTTCTGCCTTCTTGTAAGCAGATATGATTGTCTCTGTAACTGCATCTTTTTGTTTGGTTTCAATAGTCTTCAATTTCATGCTTTGATACACTTGAGTCATCAATTCTACACCTTGAGATGGAGCAATGCTTTCACATACTATTTCAAATGCTAATCTTGCTTGACGTATATAATACATTTTTGTAGAATACTGTAGGTCTTCTAGGTTTAATGATGCTTGTGATTTGAGAGGGGAGTATTGCCCATGAGACATCATTTCCATTGCCCAGTTAAATGTATCTTTCTGTGATCTTTCGTCTTTGGACCAATTGGAGGCAACTGTTGTTTGTGATGAAAACATATCAGGGTCTGAAAATAGCAAAAAGAAAATACATGACTAGTTTGAAGGATAACAGAGAGTTTACGTGATGAAAACTATTGCCGACTTAAGTTCTTAGGATGATAATAGTGTTCAAAGTCATTTAAAAAAAGAATATTAGAATAAAAGTATCACATCAACAGATAAAATGCAGGGCCCAGTTTAAGATGATTGTTTAGTCAAACCCTGAACTGATGGGGGGCTGTTGCAAGAATGGTTAGATAAATTTATAAAGGGGCATAAATCTATAACGGTTTAAGTGATGCCACCAAAATTCAACCCTGATCTGTGTTGTGTGGTAATAAGCATTGTGTATAAGTTTCATAACATTTAGTGGAGGCAAACTAAAATTAGGGAACAGAAACTAAAAATTCAGCAATTTTTCCATTTATGATGGGACATTACTGCAGAACGGTTAAAGGGACGCCAAAAATTCTAACTTGATTTGTGTTTTGTAGTAATAAGCATTGTGTATAAGTTTCATAACCTGATACAGCTCTGAATTTGGATTGTGATTAAATATTTGACACAGCATAGGTTTCTGACACAGAATGAATGTGGTCTAAGAACTTAAAAACTTTAAATTGGACATTTACCTATTATGGTCCAATATCCAAAATCTAAATACATGGTTAGAATCAGCATATCAAAGAACCCCAAGAATTCAATTTTTAATGAAATCAAACAAAAAAGATTAATTTTGGACCCTTTTGACCTCAATGTAGACCAATTTGATAACAGGGCCCAAAAATCAAAAATCTAAATACATGGTTAGATTCAGCATATCAAAGAACCCCATATATTCAATTTTTGTTGAACCCAAACAAAGTTTAATTTTATACCCCGATTTGGACCAACTTCAAAACTGGGCACAAACTCAAAAAATCTAAGTACATGTTTAGATTCAGCATATCAAAGAACCCCAAGAATTCAAATTTAGTTAAAATCAAACTAAGTTTAATATTGGACCCTTTGGACCTTAATGTAGGTCAATTTGAAAAGGGGACCAAAAATAAAAAATCTAAATACAAGGTAAGATTCTGCATATCAAAGAACCACATTAATTCAATTTTTTATGAAATCAAACAAAGTTTAATTTTGGACCCTTTGGACCTCAATGTGGACCAACTTAAAAACGGGGCCCAAAATCCAAAAACTTAATACACGGTTAGATTCAGCATATATATCAAATAACCCCATATATTCAATTTTTGTTGAACTCAAACAAAGTTTAATTTTGGACCCCAATTTGGACCAACTTGAAAACTTGGCCCATAATAAAAAATCTAAATACATGTTTAGATTCAGCATATCAAAGAACCCCAAGAATTCAATTTTTGTTAAAATCAATTTAAAAACAAGGCCCAAAATCCAAAAACTTATTCAGCTTAGTAAACAACCCCAAGAATTCAAGAATAAAACCCCATTGAAATTGGTCAAGAAATAAGCAATTTATACAAAGTATTAGAAAAGTATTGTTTTTGGTCCCTAATTCCTAAACGGTTAGGGCCACAACCCCCAAAATCAATCCCAACCTTCCTTTTTGGTATGGAACCTTGTGATACAATTTCAGAAAGATCCATACACTTACACACAAGTTATTGTCGGGAAACTAGAAAAATGCTTATTTGGACCCCTTTTTAGGCCCTTAATTCCTAAACTGTTGGGACCATCAGTGTTCTCCCCAGGATTTTTGGATAGCACCAGGGTAACGCGTGTGGACAGCTTGGTGAAATATTTCATACAATCAGTTGTGTCGCATCGGGTCGCATCGCTTAGCTATATTTCCAGTTACTGTAGTTTTTATGTCTCTTGTTTTGTTTTAATACTGTGGTACTGTGTTATGTAGACATTGAGTCAGAAAATTATTGGTAAAAAAGAAGTAAATCAAAAAACAGTTTGTATACTGTAATATTTTTTTTAAATAAATAAATTATGATTCATAATAAAATATTCATCTGAATTTAAAGTATTTAAATCTTTTATAAAATCCAAAATCAATAAAAATAAAATATCATTCAAAAGAGAACAAAAATGTTTAATTTAAAAAACTTGTTAGTTTCTAGAAAGAAAGTTGTTGTATGTGAAAGGATTCCTGTCATAAGAAGATATAAAATTAACAAGAACAATTGCAAATATTGTTTCATTATTTGAACCAGTTTCTATCTTAGATTTTAATAAAAAGAAATTTTTCATAAATTTTAGAACATTTTGCCATAGATTTCATGTAAATATTAACCTTTCTTGTCTTTGGTGATAATCAAACATAGATACAGACTTAATACTGCACTGAAATCTAAATCTTTATTTGTCATGAACCATTTAAAAAAAAATTCCTAAATCTATAAATTTATCTTTGGTCTATAGATTTATAAGTAACCATATTCAATGTCAACAACTAAGTCTCCCTATTTTCCCGCCTAAATGACAGGAAGTAGATATAAATAGAATTAACATGTGCTTATGGATAAAATTTGCAAGATTACTTCTGTTATTCATTAATTATGGATATAGATATCTAGTTTGAAGGTACAGTCATGCATTTTATTTATAAAATAGAATAGATTGCAATTAATTGTAAATAAACTTGAATATTCTACGTGAACTAACTGGGTCATGTGATACTACAGTTTGAAACCCGACTATCATGCAATAACTATGTCATAATTAAAGAAAATATTGGCCATGGTTTAATCAGAGACATATAATACTATAATATAAGAATTGAGAAATGTATAATTGTCAGTTATATGTAATGAGCCACCTTTATGATGTACAAAAAATGTACCTATCGGGTCAAGACTGTTTGTGTACAAAGTATTTGCCGACTTGTCACAGGTCAGTGCTTGGGTGGTGAGTGGAGCCATAAAATAGTTATCTGTGATCATAAAGTTATGAACTCTTAATTAAAACATAAAAGAATCATGTTACAAGTGTTAATTACATCGATTAAATCCAATCAACAAGGTTAACCTCATAAGGTAAATCGATCACGTGATGTAAACAATCTGTGTTGAACTGGTTTGAACTGGTCAAATTTCACCTGGAATTTTATACCGCACGGAAAAGATTTAACAAGTCGTTTAAAACTTTACCGATTTACGATTTTTTAACTGAAAATTTTAGCACCACGGAAAAAATTATACATCGCTGTAAGAACGATACCACCACGGTAAAAAATTATACATCACGGTCCTTTAAGGGCCTGGGGAGAACACTGACCATAATGCCCAAAATCAATCCCAACCTTCCTATTGTAGTTTCAAACCTTGTGTTTAAATTTCATAGAGATCCATTTATTTAAACTAAAGATATTGTCCGAAAACTAAGTGTCTTCGGACGATGTGATACCAATATACGACCGCACACATTTTTGCGGTCGTATAAAAAGTACTCGATTAGATTTACCGTAATAAAGAACCCCAAAATATTCAAAAATTTGAAATAAGAATGCTGGCACCTGTGTTTCAAAATAACAGGAAGAAAAAATAACAGGTGCATGTACCTAGAGATATAATTAATTGAAAATTTGGCTTTCTCTAAATTGTTCATGCATTTAACATTGACACCTATTTTTCTTTACACAAGTCTTTGCAAAAATTACAAGGGTTTTATAAGAATTTCAAATATGGCTTTAACAATACATATGTATATGCAGGTGAGACAAAAATTGTTTACCTGAATCCACAGACATTGCTAATTCTAGGCCTCCTTCATGTATGCAATCAGACACCAGTTCTGTAAAAAAAAATAAAAGTAAATTATATTGCAATATTAGCAAATCATGTTCAAACTGTAAAGGAACACATGGTCACAATATAATAGTTTGTCTCTTGGCACTCACACTACATCTTCTTATTTATATATGTAGGACTCAAATCTATGGTGGGTTCCAAATCTATGGCAGATTCCTAATCTATGGCAAATATGACGTCATGACATCCCAAATCTATGGCAGATTTTTTACAATCCTAATCTATGGCAAGTTTTGTAGTTTCCTAATCTATGGCGGATTTTTGTTGTTTCCAAACCTATGGCAAATTTTGTTCAAATGGAAAACAATGCAGTACATATACTACCAATGACTTGTCTTAAACAAGTGGACATGTACGACAACGGGAGCAAATCGTGATTGCAAACAAAACATTTCGTAAATGATGAATCATATAACTTAATACAGACTTCAAGATTGAAATGATGTGCCCCGTAAAAATAAAAATTTTTTAATCCGTGCATAGTACCTGTTTAACCCATTCGTTAAACCAACTAGTAATTCCCTTAACAAACAAGAAGGCAGGTTTTTATAAAAAAAATATATATATAAATAAAATTGAACAGTTTGAATTTTCACATATGTTATTTCACCGTTAATATTTTTTTTTTATTTGATGGCGACACAATAGTTATTACATACATGTAGCTTATCTCTATCAACTATATAATTTTGGCTCAAAGCAAAAAAGTTTGCAAAAATTCTAATCTAAGGACAATAACTCCTATATTAAAGGAGTTATCTGACAATTTTTGACAAAATTAAGTAATCCATGGAAGATATCACTTTAGAAATTTCAATGCAAATTTAAACAAAAATGCTGGGAGAAATTTATTATCTACTTATAATACACTGATGTAAAGTTAAGCAATTGTCAACTAATCAATCTGAAGTTTCACATGATACTATGAGCATATATGTTTGATTACTTTCTTTTATTTTAAAAAAAATTGTGTTATTCAAAATTGATAAATAGTTCTAATACCAGTCAAGTTTTCATCTGTAACAATCCCTGCTTCATCCCTGTCTGTAGAATTGTCTAGAAAACAGCATATTTCTAAAATAAAAATTACAATTAATGTTAATTTAATTAATTCACAGATTTTAATGTAAAATTTTCTTCATCAAAATTGGAGAATATGTCAGTCTTACCAGTTTTTTCAGGCTTATTGTCATAAAAGAGGATAAGTAGTTATTTTTTTTTATTTATGATCCTTAATTGACAATAAAATAAGAATTTAAGAAGGATGTGTGTTTACCACAGTTTATTTGTGTTTTACTAGATTCAAATTTTAATATTTTTTTTTTATTTATTGATTCTTTATCAGGCTGTTACAAAATTCATCCAAATGATAATAAAATCTTATTTGCTGTCCATTTAGCGGTCTCTATTCATTGTTACATCTTTAATTAATATCATTAATGTACCTCTTAGTTCTCCTTTCATATCTGTTCCAATTTGTACTTCATCTTTATGCTTTTCAATGCATCTCCTACATATACCTGTTGATAAAAATTAGAATATTATACAGTACAATGTTTGCCTTTTTTTTTAGGAATATCAATAGACATGGGATACATGTAAATTTGCAGTATCAAAAAATATATGCATGTACATGTATGTGCTTTTATAAGCAATTTCTCTTATCAATGATTCTTGGGGATAGAATATGAAATTCATGAAGAAATTAAAAAAACAATTATGTTGTAATGTCATGAATTCAAAGTTGTTCTGTTGTACAAATGCACATTTATAGGTCTTGCATTATAATGTGGATGCATTTATTGATCAATTGACAAGGATTGAATTTAAATCAGTGTGGGAGTATCCATCTTGGTCACTGTATAAAAGATATATGCAGCAGAATTTAAACCGAAAAGTACAATTTGCTAATATAAACAGAAGTTGTGATGTACAAAGGCAATGAATGGTACATGCATGTATAACAATGTATAATACTCCTTCAATTTGGAAGCAACCACCTTTCTATTTTTTCTTATCAATATACATGATATATGGAGTTGTAGAGTTGTCTCATTGGCACTCATACCACATCTTCTTATATCTTTATATGAGGTAAAAACAAGAATGTGTCCATAGTACACGGATGCCCCAATTGCATATCATTTTCTATGTTCAGTGGACCGTGAAATTGCGGTCAAAATTAGAAAGATCATATCATAGGCAACATGTGTACTAAGTTTCAAGATTGAACTTCAACTTCATCAAAAACTACCTTGACGAAAAACTTTAACCTGAAGCAGGACAGGAGGACGAACAGACAGACAAACAAATGGACGCACAGACCAGAAAACATAATGCCCATAAATGGGGCATACTAAATGGAGACATTTATTTAAATATTGAGTTTTCATAAGATGGAGACATTTATTTGAATATTTAATTTTCATACGATGGAGACATTTATTATTTGAATATTTGATTTTCATAAGATGGAGACATAATTTAAAAGATTTCATATAGAAATTAATACTAATTTATAATAAAATATTTGAATTCAAATCAACCAAAAAAGCTGGCAGACAAATTAGGTAATATGAATAAAAGATATTTTTTGGAAGTGAAATGGGAAAATCAGAATTGCAAATGATAGAAAACAAGTAATTCAATTAGCCATGTTAGCAAAGGTTAATAATTGCTAAGACTTGGGGACGGAACGACTTGATACTATTTTTAATATTTACATGTGTTTTTGTGAATATCGTGAATTTGTATTTTTTACCATATAGAATAAGGAATATTTTTATACGTCAAATTAGGGACCCTTGAGGGCATATAGCATTCAAGCAATATTTTATTATTATAAACAATAACAGTCGTATAAATACACAAACAATATAAACATGATACATGTACATATATCTTAATAAGTTTGTTCATATTTTTTTAATAAAAGTAGCGATTGAACTCAGCGGGAACAGACCCAAGGCAAATATGTAACAAGGCAAAAGAGCCCAATACCACAAAAAATTCCCCCCTTTTTTCCCCAAGATAAATGGACAGTGTTTTTTCTCTGTATATATTATATATGAATTTCTAGATCTATTTTTATGGTGTCATTTTGCTTTTCACTTCATTAATTTTGAAATAATCTTACCAGAACAAGGCCGTAACTAGGCATTTTATTTTAGTGAGGCAGAACTGATCGCCGACCGGAGCGAGTCGAAAAATTTTGGTAGGGGGTCTGGGATAAATGGTGTAAAATCCTGCATTCTGGGCATTTCCAGAGAGCTTGACATCGTTGCATAGATTGAAGATGTCACGGTTTGAAATCAAACCGTTTCATTGCCGCCGGAGCTAAATATCAATTTTCAGCTTTAAGCATTTGAACGGGGTATATTGGGATCTACTTTGCCATTTCACCTTCAGGAATATGGGATAATCATAACTTTGTCATCTGAATTCACTGAGATATGGGGCACCCCCTATGTCATTTTATGTTATTTTAGGAATATTATTTTTAGTTTTTCTTTTTGCCACATGCTACCTTGTAATGTTATGGATACGGGAAATTGGATATAACTATATCGTTTTATGTTATTCTAGGAATATTAATTTTTTTGGTTTTTTTATGGATAATGGGGAAATTGGACTGGAGTTTTCGCCGTTTACATGTAGGTCCATGATTTCAGATTATTTCTGGAAATAGTCAGTGGTAAGAAATTTTAGATCGACAATCGAATAATGAGGTGGTCCGATCCCGAAATCCCGAATTGAAAGACACGTCCCTCAATAATCTAAAAATTGGATTACGAGATGTTCTTTCAAATTTTAAGAACAAATAAAGTTGGGGAAAACTGGGAAATGAATACTCAGACAGGACTGCTCCCATGCGGTGCTCCAGTAATTGATTTGTCAGTATATTTATAGTTTTTGGATTAGTTCTAATGAAAATATATTCAATACTGGAACTCTTAACACCTGTTGTGATCACAAATGACATCCATTAGTTTACTAAAACTATTCCTTCCTCAACTTCAGTATCGCTTTTCACCCCCAGTTTTTGGTGGGGTTCGTGTTGCTCAGTCTTTAGTTTTATATGTTGTGTTTGGTGTACTATTGGTTTGTCTGTTGGTCTTTTTCTTTTTTAGCCATGGCGTTTATTTTCGACTTATGAGCTTGAATGTCCCCCTGGTATTTTTCGCCTCTCTTTTTCCTTTTTCTGCAAGAACCTGTTTTTACCCAGAGATCAATGATGATTACCGGTTATTAGGTTAATCTGGGAATAGTATATCTAACAATATATCAATATATATGTTCCTGGGTTAATGTAATCGAGAAACATCAAGCGGTGACTGAGATGCTGATTTATATCCGGTAAGAATAATTTAAAAGGAGCGATGTCAAGTTATAGAAATTAAGGTTGAGACAGAAAAAAACAAATGACTATATTTCGTATTTACCATAAACTAAACAAAAACACCAAAAAAAATTTCAGTGTCGAAATTTTAGTGTGGCAATTGCCTAACTTGCCTCAATGGTAGATACGGCCTTGCAGAACCAACTGAAACATTCAAGTTAAACTTTACCCCAATCTCTCTGCTTTGGATAAAGTTAACTCCCTTTGCCACTCTTGAAGATTTCGAAAGGTCATGGAGTGGATGGCAACATGTTCTTTTTCTTCTTGTCCACTGCAGACCAAACTCTTGTCTATGTTTTTGGCATATGCAAAAAGCAGCATTTTGAAAAGTTTGACAGTCTGAGGCCTAGACCAGCACGATTGAGAATCAACAATGATTCTGGAATAGGAATGTCTGTGCCACATTTGAAAAATCTTATATGATTTGTGGTTTCTTTCTTACATTCTTTTAAAATAACTAAGTTGTCTGATACACAGTTATCATCAAAAATACACCTTTCTCCTTTCTCAGCCATTATAATTATCCATCCTCCAATGTTCTTCTGCTCATTTGTTCATTTCCCTCCTTCTATTATAAACATTAAATCTACCTTGTATTTGGAGAGTTGTACAAAGGGAGATAATTGCAGGTATTTTTTTTTTCAATTTTTTTATCCTTGTTCAAAAAGCTAAAATTAATTTGCAATGGAATTCCAGTTGAGGAATTTTAGTTTATAGTGAACCATAACATTTGACAAAATATTATTTCAAATTGAGTGACTTTTGAGGATTTATGGACTTATGAAGTGCAGGCTACATTCAAATTTGAGAAAAACACTTTTTTTTCAATAGAAATATAAACAAAAATGAAAGTTGAAATAAGATTCAACTTGCATTTAATTTTAGTTAAAAATCTAAATTTTAAGGCAAAACAAAAAGATTTGACATGTTATACTTTGAGCAATTAAATAAAAAAAATAAAAAAATGTCCATTTTCATCAATATTTCAAGCAAATTTGGTACCAAAATAGAATTACCCTGTATTTACTGTATTTGCTCTATATTGTCATTTTTCAACCATGGGTCTATTAGATGTACTTAATACTTTGTTAGGAACCCAA